TGTTACTCCACATCCAGCCGTTGAAGGCATAGGTTTATTACATGCGGAAGATCTGCCTGTATTCTCTAAAGAACACAAATGAGCATTTTGATTTCCAGAATGGCAGCATACGCTTCAGAAAGATCACTAGACAAATGGGGTTCACTTGTTGCAGAGAAAATTAAGTAGTTTCCACATTTTCACCTTTAAAAAAACAATCTTACATGATGACAAGCTGTACTTGTTTCCAAAAAATATGAAATGGGCTGGAGTCTGGGTGTAGGTAGAAGACATGATTCATTAAGTCCACCTCAGATAAGGCAGACTTGTTGAGCCAGTAAACTGGACATGGCATGTGTGAAGATCATGTAAGGGCTAGGCAGCTGTTGCTGGTGCCATACAACAGTTCATCAAAACTGGTCTGGAGACTTTCATCATAAGAAAAGCAAGTGCACTCTGGACTTTAATCTAGGCTTCTCTGGATTAAGATAAAGAGTAAGGACATGGAGAAGGGGCATGAGTAGCCTAAAGAAGATTTTATGCAACAGGATGATTTCTATTTTCCAAATACAATTATCATTTGAATGTTTTATTTTTCAGATGTGTCTACTCTAATTCTGTTGCTAATTTTAAATAGCAAGACAATTTATTTTGAGAGATTTGTCACAATGATATAATACATAGATATCTACAGTTTCTTGCCTCTGCTTTTATGTGATTTTCAAATACCATGTCTTTAGCTGGATTTCAGAGTTGTCATCAAGACAAAGCGCTATGCCAGATGCTGCCACTGCCATGAAGTTGTTTGAGCAATGGCAGTTATAGCAGAGACACGCTAGTCAACAGTTGTTTCCTCATCACGCGCCTCTGTATCCTTGAAGCTGATCATATAAAACACAAAAGAAACTTTGAACGTGGTCTTGGCTTCTGCCCACTTCTAGATACACTATGGTCTTTTTGCTCAGTTGCTCCAGGTAGCTGAACTTTGGAAATGATGAAGTCAGACTCTTAATTTTAAATCACATTATAGCTTTACACTGACCAAACTCTTAAAAGGATCACCTTGAGACCTAAAGAAGTTTCACGAGTAGTGTGATTGGACTTCAATTGCAAATTTCAGGGTGAAGAAAGCTTCTGAGACAGAGAAATTTTATTTGCTAGAATTGTATGTTGTGCCAAACCTCCAACTTTTCTAAAGTAAGGTCTCAAAAGAACAAAAACCAAACAACAAAACAACTACACACCGATGCACATGTAAATAAATGCACACATGCACAAGGAAAGAGGAAGAGCCATGAGTCAAAATACAGCAAAATTCCTTAAGAAGTGTTTGTGTTTTACTTTTTAACTATGAGATATAAAAGAGAACATTTTTTACAAGTCACTCCAAGACAGCTGAACACTTCCCTTCTAAACTATACCAACAGAAATTAGCATGACTATTTGCAAAACCTCAGTAGACGTTCAAAAATACTTAAGTACTGTAATAATTGTTAATGGCTGTAACTATGACTTTAGAAGTGATGAAAATACCTTCCAAATTATATAAATTTCAGCTGAAGTGATGCCTTTTCCCAGTAATAATTAAATCCCAGTACTATATGATATCACATCCATTACCACAAAGTCATTTTTGGAAAACCACATTTTAACAGCATAAAAACAAATCTATAGTAGCACTAAAAATGAATGCCATCCAGTAGATATAAACATTTCTGAAAGATTGGATCTAGGCAGAATAGAAATTTGTTCATCACAGTACAGCAGGAATTTATGAATGCTTATTTATGGGTCAGTATGAACACACCCTATCTATCTGCTGACCATTTCTTCTTAACCTACCAGGGAATTTATGATTCTGGGAGTCATCTTGTGTTGAGGCAACATACCTTTTCAAGAGGCTACTTAACATACCATGAGCTATTGTGTCCTTCTCTTGTTCTGGGTAGCTCAATTTCATCAATTTTAATGCCAATCAGTCGAGCTGGGCATGTAGCACAAGGAGTAGAGTGCTTACTATGTGCAAGTCCTTGAATTCCAACCCCACTACCACCACCAAAAAAATCAGTATCAAGCAACATAAACAACTTTCTTAACCTAATATCATGAAGGATGCACATAAAACTCTCTCTCTCATGAACAATCACACAAGAAATGTTTAATAAAAGATGCCTTTAAGGGGCTGATTTTCACAGAGACTCTGACAGTGTGGCAAGCAGAATACCTGATACTCTCAAGATTCAGGCTAAAAAATGCTCAGTTTGCTGAGGAAACAAGGCACAAATACACCATACATTCACATGAACCACAGTTTGCACTTGGAGACAACAGTTATTAAAATAGGCAACAGAGGGAAATGTACAGATGCCCAAAGCTCTGTCTTTCTTGATAGAAGAGACACATTTCTGGACGATATTCTCTAGCATACAATAGGAGACAGAATTTCATTTTTGTCAATAATTCTAGAAGTAGATACAGACATCCAAGATACTTTTTACAAGTTAAAAATGAGAAAAATAAAGTGTGGCCAAAGATATGGGAATGGTGACAATAGAGCAAAAGTATTTAGCTTGGGAGGACTTCTTAGATACATGGTCTTTATTATTTTTTTATTATCCTGTAGCTCACTGCTAGATATGACCACAAGGTAGCCAAAGTGGTCAAGATTGTAAAAACGTTTGCTTCATAGAGTCATTAGTGCTTCAATCTGTCTGATTAGCGATAATTAATTAGAGAGTAAATTAGTATATATATATATATATATATATATATATGCGCATAGGTACATGTTAATCTTTAAATGCTCTGATATTTCCCACTTCCTCCAGCAGAGGTCAGAAGAATAGCAATTTTGGAGTATGAAAATCTAGGAACCAACAATTTTGGAGTGATTTTTCTCAAGACAGGATTATAGCAGGCGTTTAAAAAATTGTTTTTCTTTATCCATGTTTTCTAATTATATTTTTACAGTAGACACGCTTTACATTCACAATAATTTAAAAAGCAATAAGATTTATTTTAAACTGTATAACAGCACTGCTGGAATATGCAGCTACCCTCTACTAAATCAGAGATGCTGCTTAATTATTCATATTTTCCTACCTGCACAGAGAGTATTGCAAAGAGTCTAAGAAAGCAGCACATTTGTCCATGACTATAAAAGATCATATAAGTATAACATCATCATTTCAGTAATTGGTAACTGGAAACAGTGTTTCTCAAGCAAAGGACTTAATGGCAACTATAAGATTACCAGGAAAAAAAGGCATGCTGGACATAGCTCTTAACTGACCAGAATCCCTATCTGGTCAAAGGCAGAAATGTGAATATAATCCGGCTCATCTTCTGTGTCTGGAGAAATCTAAGAGATCTGTGTATTTGGAGAAGTCAGTTTCTTTAAATTGGGTACTTAAAATAAGAAAGACATTAAAAAATTGATCACCTTGACCTACATTTTAAAAAAAACCAAAGAACCCAATAAAGAACTGTTGACATTTGTTCAACATATGACACTATACCATGTTTCATTTTCATTTCTAATTCATGTGACCCTTTTTTCTGTTAGAAGAAAGAAATGGCTTATACAACAAGATCTGATGACTAATGAAAATGCTTATAATTTAAGGAAAACTTTTTACCTACCTTATATCAAATTAAGTAGATTCTTAGATCTTACTTTATTAACCAATTCATAATGTATAGTCTATTATATGTCCTTCATAGTATCACACACAAATGTATGAGTGTCAAAATTGCTATGTAAGGGCTGGGGATTTAGCTCAGCGGCATAAGTGCCTGCCTTGCAGGCAGGCAGTCGTGAGTTCAATCCCTGGTACTGATAAAAACGAAAAAGACAAAAAAAATTGCTATGTAAATCAAAACTGACTGTTTCTGGTTTGCTTTTGGTTTTGTTTTCTGCAGTGCTGGTGGTCAAATCCAGGGAATAGCACATGGTGAGCCCACATTGAGCACTAAGCTACCATCCCAACGACTATCTTTCTAAGGGAATGACTTCTACCATGAAGAATGTGTCTATACTGCTTATTTCCACCTATGGGACAAGAGAGGAGAGACAGAAATTTGAAACCTCTGCCAGTTCTGTGAGACTCTAGGGAGGGGCCTAGAGAACATCAGTGGGATTTTTTTGGACCAAAGTGAGGATTCTGGGAAAACAGGAAACAGGAAGATGTGAACAGAATCTGAGGACCAACAAACGCAGGGAAATTGGAATCCATGGAGAAATGTGACTAATGAGGAAATCCTCAGGGGTGCTTTGGTCTAAGGAGTTACTGGAATGTGTGATATTCATTTCTAAGCTGTTTGTATTTCTGCAGTTCAAAAGCCTTCCATTGCTCAAAACCTCAGTCCTGCTGCAACACACAAATGCTTGGGGTGTGAGAAAAATCAAGATGAAGATGTGAGTTTGAACTCCGGTTGGCATCAGGATAAAGGAAGAAAAGAGTTACAAGCTATGAGCTATGAATGAGTGTAAGTGTCATGGAAGCTGGAACCATGAGAAGTAAAGACCTAGTACATGGACAGAATTAATGGAGAGATCAGTGGAGCTTCCCTGCAAATGAGATTTGGAACTTGAGCCATTTTCCCATCAGCCTTGAAGAATAATTTTATCTGACATCGGACAGAATGATAGTATTTTGAAATATTTCGTGAGCCATATTCCAAGTAATCTCTATAATATAAAGCCCAGGGCAGCATTTTATAAAATTGTACGTAGTTTTTCATATAACATGAAAGTGTCACAGGTATTTAAAGATAGATATTTAATAAAGTTATCACAAACATCTTTCTCCACTGAATTTTTCAAACATTTTAACAAATTGACAATATAACCTTCCTAAATAAGGGAGAATTCCTAATTCTTTACTAATAAAGAGTAGCTGGATTTATAGAATATATACACATCATTGAAGAAGCAGAAGATTCTCTGAGAGAATTATCTGGAAGTCACAGGGTTATATTCATAGACAATTTCAAATTTTTAGTGTCCGGCCTCAGCTTACCTTTACATGGTGTATCTGACGCTCAACATCATTCACTCTGTAGGTCTCCAATCCCAGCTCCTTGGCCAACCTTAAGATGCGATTCTGGGTTGGTCCAACATAGGCTCCTCCAAGGTCCACATATTTAACATTTTGGTTCTGTTTTCCCATGGAAAAAAAAGGTGAAAATGTGAGAAAATTTGAACAGTCCTAAAATAGGCAAATTGGCATTTTACATGTTACAGATGCATTTTGAAAAATATTCATGGAAAACTGGATTCTGTTCTCAATTCGACTTTACTTCACATGATTGAATAGTTTTTGGTTCAATCTTTACTTTAAAGCAAAATTGCTTGAATATTAAATGAGTGAAAGATTTCTGAACACCATTGTCCAATTATACAACAACATAGTTTGCCTTGAATTTATTAATTGTTCAGGAATCTCTTTACTCAGTACTTGAGGCTCATTTTGAGTGATTTAATGCTATAGAAAAAGCAAGAAAGGAAGCGATCACTTCTTTTAAGGTTTGCAAGATGCTTAAGAAATATACTACCTGGTCATAATTTTGATCTTTGATGTTGATTTTTGGCTTAATAGTATTTTATATGCTTTTGCTAGATACTTTGAATTAATATATTTTTTGCTTTTTGTTCTGTTCTGTTCTGTTCTGTTCTGTTCTGTTCTGTTCTGTTCTGTTCTGTTCTGTTCTGTTCTGTTCTGTTTTCCCAGTAGTGGGGATGGATGGAACGGAAAGCCTCATACATATTAGGTAAACCACTCTTCCACCGAGTTATACTCCTAGCCCCAATCTGAAACATTTCTAAATACTAAGTGGCAACCTTTGAATAAGAAATGTGTAGAAAAGCTCAGCTATCTCTGATCATGTCCATGCAGAACCAGGTACATATTAGGGACACCATAATGGTTGTGCTTTTTTTTTTTAAATCTAGCTCTTTATTCAACCTCCTGAAAAGGAAAACGATTTTGTATGGATGAAAAAATGTGGTTTACATACACAATGGAATACTATACAGCATTATTAAGAAAGAATTTAGAGCAGCATGAATTGAACTGGAAGACATAATGTTAAGTGAAATGAACTGGACACAGAAATATAAATTACTGCGTGATCTCACTCACATGTGGAATCTTTAAGAAAAGCTGAACTGATAAAAATAGAATGAGGAGTGCCAAGGTCATGGGTGCGGATTTAGGAAATGGGGAGTTACTGGTCCAGGTACACAAAGTTTCAGCTAGACAGGAGGACTGAGTTTTGAGAGCTGTTGCACCGTATGATGACCTTGGTCAGTACTAATACACATTTCAAAACAACTAAGAGTAAATTTCAAGTGTATTGGCACAAAAATACCCAGAGAGAAGACAGTTAAATTAATCAGGTTGATTTAATCACTCTATATTCTATATGTATCACATCATACTTTACAAATGTAGCACAATTATGATTTATTGATTAAAATAATATAGATTAAAAGTAAATAAATGAGACCAAGGCTCTCCTCACTCTACTTCCTAAATTTCCTGGCTTGTGTGGTTGAAATGATTGTGTTAATGCTTAAAGAAGCACCAAAGTTAGAGGTTAAAAGTACAAAAACTTGTGATATCTTTATCCTTACTTCATACACACACACACCATTTCTCTCTCTTCATCATAACTATAATGCCAAAATTCATGATATAAGAAAAAAAAGGTAGAAGAAAGAGTTGAAAGGGAGGCAAATTATAGGAAAAGCTGAGGAGGGGGCGGGGGTGTAGCTTAGTGTTTTCTTTTCCAAAACAACAGGGGAGGGGAGGCAGATAAACAGACAGACAGAAAGACATGGAGACAGAAGAAGGAGAGAGACAGAGACAGAGACAGAGACCAAGACAAGGATGGAAGCAGACTTTTTCAGGGCAATTTTCATGTTCGAAAAGAGTCAAATGAAATTGAAAACTTTCAGGGAAAACAAAACACAAAACTCAGCTTTGGCTCACATTTCACCAGCCCACCCTCAGCTTCTTACCCTAAGGGTGTAAGTCCTGCCTCCCACACGGTCCCGGGCTTCCAGAACTACCACATTCAGGCCGGAATCATGCAGAAGTTTGGCTGCTGCCAAACCTGAGGGGAAGGACAATAAGATATCAGGATCAAATATATCACAGGATTCGAGGGTGGTAGCATGCACCTATAATCCCAGTCTGGAAGGCTGAGGCAAGAGGATTACAATTTTCAACCCAGTTTGTGCAATTTAGCCACTTAGCAAGACCCCATGGCAAAATAAAAAACACAAAGAGATCTTGAGATGCAGCTCAGTGTGAAGGCCCAGGGTTGAACCCCAGTAACACACACATACATACACACACATGTGCTTGCACACAAAGTTACAGGGACTCCAGACAAGCTCCTCACAGTAACAGCCAGTGTGCAAGTCCACATTGGTTCATGTAATGACCTATTGTTTTGTTCAGCTTACACATTGATAAGGTTTCTCAGTAGAGGCTCAGGATCTAAGTCTCAAAAGCCAACTGATATTTCCAAAAAGACAAGAAGGAGTTCATTTTTGGCAAATACTTCAAATCATAAAAAGCCAAAGACATAAAAATTGACCCAATTTGCATCCTAAACCTCAACATACTCCATCACTGAAGAATGAAATTACTTCATTCATGCACCCATTTAATTATTCTTTAGCCAAAAATACTTAATACCTATGACATTCTCACAGCCATGAGTTCAGCTTTTTAAAAATTCAATTTTATTGAGTTAAATGTACATACAATAAATTTTACCACTTATAGTGTAAAGGTCAGTAAGTTTTCACAAAGCTTAGAGTACAGTATGTGTATGCATCCTTTGGTAATAACACATCCTAGATATCCTTTTAGTGTTGTTAAAATCTTGCATACTTAAAACCATTCTTAGGACAAGGGTATAGCTCAGTGGCTGAGTGTGCGCCTGGCATGTGTAAGTCCCTGGGTTCTATCCCCAGCACTGCAAAACATAAAACAATTTTTTATAAATGAGAAAACCACTCATCTGGGATTTAGCAAGAACTTCATCTGAGAACAGAACTCTGGTGCTCTTACAATGAATTGAATTTGCTCAGTTTCAATTACCTTACTCATTTGCTTTATGGCACCAAACAAAATCAATGAAATGCCAAGATGTTATTGTACCTCACAGATAAAGAAAACAGGTTCAATGTTGTCCTGCAGAAAGAAGAATTATGTGACTTTTAGACCTTATTATAGCAAAAAAAAAAAAAAACTAAGGTTCCTAGAAAAATAACTGATAGGCATATAATGCTCTCTACATTTAAACTACTGTTCTAAGTGTTTTAGCATATTAATTTGAGTTGGAGATGTAGTTCAACAGTACAACTCTTGTCTAGAATGCCCAAGGGCCTGAGTTCCATCTCCAGCATTGCAAAAAAAATTATATGATATTAATTAATTCAATAAATTCTTACAGCAATCCAAAGAGATAAGGTACTGATAGTTCCATTTCTGTGGCTAAGGAAACTGAAGCAGAAATACGTGTGCACAGTCACATACAGAGTGGACGGCATAGCCAGTTCTGCTCCAGCATCTGTGTTGGTGGCCACTACACTGCCCTGCCTTCCATGGACCCCATGGCCACCTTAATCAATGATCATACGGCCCCATGTTTGCTACAGGGAGTAATTACATTTCAAAAGATAATTTTACTTTATCCAAATCACCATGTCCTGAAGACACACTTGATTTTGTAGGTTAATAAGACTTCATAAAATATGAGCCCCCAGGAAACCCACAATGAGTCAAGGCTTCAATCACCATCAGTCAAAGATTTTAAAAAAGGAGTCACATTTCTCAGAGAGCTTGATAGGACATTTCATTACTTAGATTAATGTGTTTTTCCCTCACTGTTCCCATGGGAAAGGCCAAGGTTTCCAGTTGGTGCCAAGGTAATGATCCCAAAGTCCACACTTGCACATAGTGCACGTACTTGCACATACATTGCACAACCTAGATTTAAGAATACAGTGCTTGGACTTTTAACTCCAGTTTCCTCATTTTACCTCCATAAGGAAAACTGCTCAGTTGAAATTCACAACTGCAGACAATTTAATGACATTTCTCTTATCAAGCATCAGCTCCACAAATGAAATAACATGCAGCCATAGTAACAGCTGTTATCAGTGAGTTCAGATGAACTGCAGGAGCATGCTGAGGCTTAAACAAAAGGGTGAGATAAATACAACATCACTCATATGTACTAGTATATGAGACGCCACAAAAGCACTGTCTTTCAGTAAATGCAGTTATCTAATATTATCTGCTATGTCACATAAACAGTTATTAAAACAAACCAGGGGCTTATCAAACCACTGAATGGCATTCTCTAAGCTCATGTACCTTAAAACATTCTAAATAGAAAATTATAAACATCTTTAAAAAGAGCAACACAACAGTACATTATTGGAAATAAAAACCTTGCAATTTCTGTCAGACCCATGGGAGGATTGGTCCAAATGTTTGCTTGGCATGTACTGACAAAACCTGATTTGAAAAACAATTGGCCCAAATATTGGTGGTTTAAAGTCACTGCATTTTAGGAAGAGGGGATTTGGGGAACCTAAATATTGCAGAGCTAGAGTCTGATCAGGGGTGATTAAGATTGCCAAGAAGAGGAAGCTGTCAAGAGATAGTTCAGTGATGACTGGTAAAAGAATTAAAGGTTTGATTGCTCAAAGAATATGCAAACAATACGCTCTTCAGAGCCTCCCAACTTACCAAAGAGTTTTCCCCAAATGGTCCCTTCTCTATTGGTGGTTTGGAACTTTTAATACACTTTACCATAGAAACAAAAACATGAAAGATACAGTACATTCTCTGAAGTCTGAGACTTGTCAGGGTCAGTAAATACTATTGCAAAAAAAAATCATAAATTAGCAGAAACAAATCATTCTTAAAAACATTAAGCAACATAATCAGCACAGCCGAAACATAATCTCTTCACAACATAACACAATAATAGTTTTTAAAAATTAAAATACCCACAATAACAACAGCAACTACCACAAAGCTCTCACGTGCATCCATGAGCAATGGTTAGTGCCCAAAGCCTTCCTGATCTTCACCAGAAAGTTGAGAGGTATTTTTATCCTCATTTTAAA